TGTCATTGTTGCTTGAAGGGTTGATTTGGTCATATTTCATTTTCTTCTTACTTGTTTTCATTTTTTSTAAGAAAGAAAAACAAAACAAACATATTTGACCAGCTGTGTTAAATTATTAATTTAGTCACTGTAGATTGATGTTTTTTAATTTGATAGGTAGTTTTTAAATTTATGGTTTGATTTAATCCCACGAATCTTCTATTCACCAAAACTTACCTACACGTTTAAATACTATTTTGATCCATTTACTTTTGGTTTTGATTTATTTTAGTCCATCCATTTTTTTTTGTAGTACAACATGTGGGTGAGAGATCGAATTCACAGCCTCTTAATTGGAAATATAGTTACTGCTGAGTTATGTTCGCTTTGGCTGATCCGTCCATTTTATTTCATATACTTCCAATATTTTTTTTTCATTTTAGTTCTTGTACTATGAAAACATCTATTTATTCATTGTAATTATAAAAAGTTACCATTTTGGTCTCAATTAGCAAAATTGTAACACTAATGTGTATACAAAATGAAAAATATTTTATACAAAACTATGACTACGTTTCAAGAAATTTAGTGAGTAAACTGTGATATATGCCAAAATTTTGATAGAAATAAATGAGATAAAAATAAAAATTAAGAGACCAAAATGGTTACTTTTTAAAAGTACAGGATCCAAACAAACATTTAAGAAATACAACTACAATGAACAAAACTAAAAAATASAGAGATAGAGTACATGAACGAACTATTAAAAAAATATTTACACTAAGCATAGTTAGCTAAATAAAGAAAAAATAATCACACATTGGCACAACAATATATAACAAACGTGCCACATATTCCATATTATGGTTAGTGGTTCATAATGACAAACCATAAAAACTAAATCAAAGACCAAAATTTCAACTTTAAAAAACTGTATAACCCACAACAATTTAGTTGAAATTTGGTATCCTAACGCGGAGGGAGAGGTGGGGCCAAATTGCAATCGATTTGGGAAACACCAGAGGGTGAGCCCAAGGCTGGCTCCTTCTTCTTACTCCAATTGCTTCCCATTTGGGATGCAACACCAAACCCTACTTAACAGTTAACTTAACCAAATCGGTCCGCTGATGGTCCAAACATTTGTATGGAACATCATGTTCATGTTCATCGATCGGTGTAAAATAGAAACCATGTCGCCTTCTCGTTCTTGATTAATGTAATGGCAGAGGCTATTTACAATGACGCTTCAATTTTAATTTAGATCCTTATTCATCGTCAAATAGTAGGAATTAATGTGATTATTTTTTAAAAAGTTACAAATTAAAATATTTATTATGAAAGCGAACATGAGTTTAATTGACATATATCTCTAACTAAGAAGTCGTCATTTCTTAATCACAGTCAGGTGCCAATTAGTTCATATCGACTAAAACTAAAATATAATAAGCTTTAAGAGTTAATAATTGGTATTTTGAAAATTTGAGGTTTAGAAAAATAAATTGATATTTTAAGTTAGAAGGTTCCAAATAAAATAAAACCCAAATTTAGGAAAAAATAAAATTTATACATTATTATTATTATTTTAAAGATTTATTTGTTTAAAGAGAGAGTTTTGGTATGAGAAAACCCAAACATTTGTAGGTATAGGTATGTTGGGCTGATAAGTTAGAGGAAGCCCACTACAAATGGCCCAGCTCGAAGGCCCTGAAAAGCACAGACGACAAAAGCTCAACATATCCCTCTGTCAAAGAAGCCCAGATAATAGAGAGTAATGGGATAATTGTAGATATATAGCAATTTAAGAAATCAACTTAAAAAATAAAAATGAAATACAAACACCAAAAATTTAATGGTATTTCAGGCAAGGGTATTGGATAGTTGATCTAATGTGAAAGATTTGTTAGTTCAATGTCATCTTCTACATCAATAAACTAACAAAAACAATATGGCCAATGAAGCCTCTGAAAAGAACAGATCCAAGCCAAACAAAAATGATTTTAAAACAACAAATTATAATGTGGTGGTGTTTTATTATACCAATAAATCCTCATAAGTTCATAAAATATGGTATGAGCATCTGCATATCCTCGTTGAATCCGTAGAAATTCAAACATCAAGCCTGAAGAAAAAAGCAAGCAAAAACAATGACAAATGGCTTAACTCACTGAACTTGATCACGCAACTAAATATCATATCTTACAGAACATAACTTAGAAAGGAAAACCCAACAAAATTATGGGATTTACAGCCTAAGCAAGGTTTAACTAGATTACATGACACTGCATTTTACATCTTAGCTAGAACACGACTTCGACCTTGGATCTAAAACGATTCTCCGGGGAAGACAGACTTCTGCTGCTTTCTCCTCCAATGGAAGCTGCTCCTGATCACATGTAGAAAGTTTGACGATAGAATTTGCACAGAGGATGTGTATTCTTTTGACTTCTGAGAATTTCCTGCTTAGAACTTGCTCCATCCAATCCTCTACTTCTCTATTCCCATATGATATGTAAGCAGCAGCAAGCAATTGTTCCATCACCTTCGAGTCAATCTCAAGCATGTATTCTAAGCCAAAGACACTGTGGAAGATCTTCTTGATGTCCTTCAGTATTTTCTCAGCTAGAGCATCAAGATCAAATGGCTTGAAAACAACTACTTGATTGATGTAGTTACGGAAATCTTGTAACCATGTTTTGGAGATCTCTGAGGTGGAGTCATTTTCAGGGCAATCGTCATCGGTATCATGCTGGACATTTTCTTCTGCAGGACGGTTCAGATCCAGGTATTTGTTTGATGTCTTATTACTCCGTTTCACCATTTCAGGTATTTCGTGCTGATCCGAAGATTCATCTATGACATTGAGCTTCCTTTTGTTCATAAAGATGGGGTTAGGGATGCTCTTTTTCTCTGTATCAGAGACAGTCTTGCTTTGGTTCGCTTGATCTCCAATGCTAGAATCAACTTTTATCTGTAATGACCAACTTTTAGCCTTCAAGAGCCTTTCTTCAGAATACTTGGACGACAATGGCTTCTCGGGAAAWTTTTTTCGTTGTTTAGCAACCAAGGATGTTGACGTCATCACGAATATCGCATTTTTTATGCTAATTTCTCTTCCTTGGAGATCTGAGAGTTTACCAGTTTGAATAGCTTGTGATAATCTATTTTGATCAAGAAGATCAGCCTTATCAACATTTTCAAGCAAAACAATGGAGAAGGGTTGCTTGCTCAACTCAGCAGCAACAAAATCCAGAACAGTTTTCCCTCTGAATTCTACGTTGTTGTAACGTCTCAAACGTGGGCATCCAAGAAGTGTATCGGAATTGATCATCCCATCTTGGGAACTCAAATCGACGCATATGAACTGATCCTTATTGCCATACAATATCTCAGCAAGTGCAATAGCAACTTTCTTTTTACCGAACTTATCAGGACCAACAAAGTTGAACCATATGTCACCCCTCAAATTTGATCCGTGGTGTTTATCACTTCTCGTTTGGCATTGGGATATTGTTTGACCGATGATGCTCACAGCCTGATCTTGCCAGAAAACTCTTTCCTTGAGCAATCGAAGAAGTATCTTGACATCCATGGCATTCATCTGTCCTCTTTGTTCAGGACTGGAACAGGATGACGATGGAGTAAAGCCATTACAGACCTTCCCATTAACTAAATCAACATTCGTTGAGCAGCAACCCRACAAGTCCGATGGAAAATCCGTGCTGTTCTGATTTAATGATTTCTTCAGCTTATAACTGGTGGGCAAAGAAACAATTCCCAATCCTAGATCTGTTGTAACAGAACCGGCTGATGGGGAAGATGTTCGATTTTCATCATCTGCACTTGAAATGGACAGGCTGAGAGGAGACCTGCGACCCCCTAACTCGATATCTTCAGTTTTAGATGTTTCTTCCTGCAGTTTGGATAGGAAATTCTCGTTGCTCGCCCTGGTAGATAGAGGAAACGTGTTTGATCTAGAGAGAGAAATCTTTGGTAACTCCATGAAACTGCCCGAGTTCAACTCCGCGGATACGCTGCTGCTGCAGTTGTTAACAGCAGTATCTCCCCTTTTATCTTCAGTGACTTGGAAGCCCATAAGCGTCGGAAACATGGATGCTTCTTTTAATGGTTGACCGCGATGGAGACGCTGGCATATGTTGTCCCATTTCTTTTGGAATCCTGCAATTTTGGCACTCAGTACCAGTCCATCATCTCTGGTCTGCACTGAAGACGTATGAACTAGCTTTTACACAAGAAAATGCAGCCTAAAGTAAACTACATATCAGTTCTCACGACCACAAGAAGAGAAGAAATCGGTTGTTATCAAAATCCTCGATTATCCAAGCACCATGAAGAGTGTGCAATAAACAGTATATAGATAAGTTTATAGCTTCTATCTAAAATGAACACAATCTTAGCACATGAAAAGCATTGCCATAGACATATATATTGAGAGTTTAATTTGAAATCAAACACTCACCTTCCCATCAAATCCATCGAAGTTGCTAAGTTCAGCCATTTGCATCCAAGAAGGCAGGCTAGATTGGTGCTGCTCGGAGAGAGAGGGAACGAAAATACCCTTTGAAGCAGCAATGACTTCTTCTTCGCAGTTTTTGTCACATTGATTACAGCGGGAAGGATGTTGGCATGAGGTAGTCAAAGGGATGCTTGCATCAGAAGGTGGGGAAAAGAACCCACCAAGTGGAACAAATGATCCCATCAAGCTGTTGCGATATTAGGATAATCATAAGATCCAAAAGCAAAATGGAAAAGAAATTGAAAAAAAGGAAAAAGAAAAATACTTAGTTGGCTTCTTAAGATGTATGGAAGAGAAACGGCATAGAAATGTAAAGTTAAACAGGTATACAATTCATTTCAAATTGAGCAGAAACCTTTGGCCGAGGACAAGTTTCCAAACCTAGAATTGGCAAGAGATTGACGATGTCGATGAGGTCTTTAAGTTTAGAGAAAATTTTATGGAAAAAAAGTAATAAGATATTGATGTTGATAGATGTTATAGTAAAAAATACGAAAATCACATGAACTAATAAAAATTGTTCAAATAAAGTTTCTTTCTAAAAAAGAAAACCCACTTTCATTGAGAATATAAAAGAACTACAAACAAGACAAGACGCAAAAAAATTGAGGGTTTGACCCAAAAACGCAGAAACAACACTCTAACCATTTTAAAAAAGAACCCTGATTTGGTAACCATTTACATAATTGTTTGAATTACTAATATTTAACACCTCTTATATTCATATTCATACTATTTTGAGATATTTCATAAACTATGATATTTTGAAAAAAAGATATTGCCCCCTCATATCAACAAATAGAAATATGAACTTGTTGACGGAAATTTTACTGTCAAACTTCCCTACGATCAAATTATTCCATTTCCTAGTCAACTATCTTTCAAGGCATTATCACCAGATTCCCATGTATTGTAGGTGTTCTGAAAAGTTGAAGTTCATAATAAGAACATATACAAAGTAGATGAAAGAGACAAAAATGATGTAGGATTAAGTACGTTTTTTTGTAACAGAATCAAATAGTTACTCTAGTATTTATCAACATTCAGAGAGAAAAACTTAATTTTTATCTGCTATCAGCACTCCTGTTTTCACCCAAGTGAGTGGCGCTCCTAAAGAAATCTTAAACGACAGAAAAATTACACAACAAAAAGTACTAATTTGAAAATGATCAAACTTCCTCGTAAGGCAGACTAGTCTTATAGAAAAAGACAGTGATACAAAAAAATAAAAAATACGAGGCAACTACCATCCTTCAGTCCAGGTGTTATCATGTTTGAATGAACAATAAAATAAAATAAATAAAATAAAATAATCTTCAAACTTGATGAAGGAGGAAAAATGTTATAAAAATTTGCAGAGCATGTCACAGAGCAGAACAAAATTTTAATGCAAATTCCAAGAAAGATTTGGAGACTGACCTGGACCTGGGATATGATTCAGCCACAGAAGGCCTGAGAGAAGTGATGGGGAGAAGATGCAAATCCCAATCCTTCTCAATCGAAGGAAATTTAGTAACAAATCTCAAGTAAGTTTCATAGCTCGCCGCTGCTCCGATCAACCAGACTTTCTCTCCATGAACGTCGACCAACTTTTTCAGCTGCCCGACCACATGGCTCGCTCGATCATCAGTAGAATTATCACCAACAAATGCCTTCAAATCGCCGAAATTCACTATCAATCCAGGCTCCGGCGACTGCTCCACCATCTGAACGACTTCCACGAATCTCATATTCAAAGTCCCCGTTTCGGAATTTTCCGACAAGAACCTAGAGAAATCGTTTTCGAGGCAAATAGTTCTTACCCCGGACAATTCCTCCGGCAAGATATTGTCAATTCGTTTCTCGATGGCCTCCATGAAGCCCTTGAGCGCGACGTACGCGGATACTCCGACGAGCAGCGGATTCCTGCCCCTGTTCCTCCCCAAAACCTCCCCGATTCTCCGATTGTTCTCGTCCCCATCTCGAAAGCCGGAGAGGGGAAACAAGAACCCGCGACGATTGGGGTCGGAATAGTCCATCAAATTGCAGAGGAACAGAGGGGG